GTATCAAGGCTAAGGAGGGCGTAATAGCAGACCAACCATTTCAATGAATGTGCCAATTTGTCAAAACAGTCAGGAGATGACCAAACCAATGACACTCTTGTTATAGAGCATTTTACATCCTCATATTGTCTCCCTTGTTCATAAGACCCTTTTCACTCTTTTTGCATGACTTTTCTGCTCTTTTGCTTTATCATCATCATGGCTTTCAATACTTTGTGATCAAGATATTTCTGCCAATTGCTTTCCCTGCGTCAAACTACCTTTACTGTAGTGCTTTACCTTTCGTTATCCCTTGCACAGCCTCATCAGTACTCTTTATCTGTTCATTATCCTGTCCATCATGGCTCACTGAACACTCACCGATTAACTAGACTTGATCTGATACCAAAACTAGGATTTGGATCAGCCCGGCCATGCTGCATGTAAAATACAGTATAGATGCCCCAATTAACATACTGATCAGATGCCATAATCTATCATTCCCGACTGCAGTTCAACCAGTTTTGCCTTTGGAAACAATGCAGAGGCAGTGCCAGCAGAAATTGTAAGTCAGTGCTTGGCTATTATTGTTTTTCAGTGGGTAACATGAAAACTTTTTGATTGCAGTGGTATGGAGGGTTTACTTGTTTAGGCCAGTGCTTAAATCTAGGGACAATATCTGGATTAGAGTGTCTTTACAAATTCAATATTTTCATGTCGTCTTTACATCTTATTTGTTATTTCTTCATGCTTTTATCATTTTACCATGTCAGGTCAACTATCAGGTAAAATATCCCTTTGACCTCACTCTTTGCCCCTTTCCAAAGGATCTACATCTGAGGCAAGTCAAGTCAAGAGGGTTCATAATACAGTTCTTGAGGTTATCTTTTCTGTATTCAATCAGTCTCTGTAAGGGGATTGGCTGAATGGCCTCAAGCTAGCGAACCTGGCGCCCAACCTCTGCGATGGCTGGAAATCAAAGAAAATCAGCTAATTTTTGTGGCAGAAATCCCCCTGAAGGAAATTACTGATGGATTTGGTTTTATGTGTTTGGACTCAACTGGATAAAGGCCCTGAGGCGTACTTTCTTTTTTAAAACAAAGTGTAACACAGGTGCCTTTGCTGCTGTCGGTAAAAGCACATCACAGTCTGAACGTTCACACTACCCTCAGTGGACCATCTGCAAGTGTCTCTGGAAAAATCTATTTATCAATCTACCTATCTATCTATTTAGTTTCTGTCTTTTTTCCCCTCCTGTCCTTCTCTCCCGGTTTTGTAGAACTCTCAGTATATACAGCTGAAAAAAGACAATTCAATCCTGGTTTAAAGTTGAATTTTCTGATGTGTTCCTTTATGGTTTTATTCTTGATAATAAAAAAGCACAAATTATGCCATGTATATAACAATACGAAATAAAATACAAAATAAAATAATATTGTTTTTAAAGAGAATTTCTGGTGTCTTCCGTGTGATGAAATTGATGATTGAGGTTATTTAGATACAAGAAATTATGCTCAGATTTTTTAGCTGCTGGCACAATGTTTTTCCCCCTACATATGAAAGAAACCTTTTAAATAAAGGGAACACCTGAGTAAACTGGTAACAAAGTTGATCTGTGGATCAGTCACTATATCCTCTTTATATTATCCCTCAACATGTGTATGAGTATGAAGCTGCCTAACTGCTGTAAAGAGATTCATGAAGCTCATACTAATACAGCGAATACTGGTCTTTCTGTACAGATACAATACAATACAAAACAATACAAGAACTTCATTGATAGAAATAGGAAACTCGTTTGTCTGGAATCTCATCTCATCTACTATTTATAGAGGAGACTGTAAGCTTGATGTCTGTAGGTACAAAAGATCCTCCGAATCTGTCTATCCTGCAGTGAAGAGAGAGGAGCTGTCCACCATTGTTGGTTTGTTTTGGTCCATCAAGGTGTTTTGAATTGGATGATCCATGTTTTTTACAATGGCCTCTACCTTCTTCAGTGTGCGTCTCTTAACCACATCCTCCACTGAGTCAAACTTGATTCCAACCACAGAGCCAGATTTTTTCACCAGTTTGTCCAGTCGTCTTGCATCCTTGTGTTTTATGCAGACTGATCAAACATCTGCGGTGTCTCACCGCATTATTACAAGTGCTTCAGGATGATGATTCGGTATCCTAGCAACAGAATGATGGGGAACATCACCTGGAATTTCAGCCGTTGCCTCAGGTGGGTGGTATACAAGTACTGTTATGATATGTCTGAACTCCCTTGGAACATTATAAATTCCTGACCATTTATTGACATGCTCAGAATGAACCTTTGGTAGTTTGGTGGTGTATATATAAAAATTCCCCAAAGTTGATAAAGACTAATATTCTGGCTGTGATTTTTCTCACTATACAAATGTCTAATTTCAGGATTGATCGAGTGACTTTTGTATATTTCACATCAGTCGCTGTCCTACAACTACTTCAGCCCTTTTATTGACATTTTTATTGGATTTTTGTGGGACGAAGGTGGTTTGTTCTTACATTGACTTTATTTTCACACCATCAGTAACATTTGATCTGTATGGGCTGCTGGTTCCTGCAACCTCTGCACATTTATAGCTCTTCAACAGAACATAGTCTTATGAAGAGGAAAAACCACAGGTATGTATGATATGATCACATACAGTTAAACCAAACATAGTCATGGTTATGCATTCAAAATACTTAGGAGGTCGATTTGGAGGTGGATTTGTTTTTTTTTTTCCAGAGGTGTTATTGTTATTTCAGTTTTGCTTGCCTTGTTAAGTATAAACTAAAAGTCAGTCCTGTCTGCATTCAGGCAATAAAATAAAACCCATTGGATTTTCTTTGCAACTATGTGTGACAGTGAGAATACTAATTGTTTCTAAGGACGCTTTAATTTGTACGTTCAATCTTGCAAATTTTAAAACCAATGATTTGGCAAATTGGATAAGAAACTCTTCATCCATTTGTAATATCTTAAAGGTTTTTGCTGTGAAACCCACAGGGAGCTCATATATCAAGTCAGCTCAAACAAATGAGACTCAAGCTCCCTTGAGGGTTAGAAAACATGCAGGCTAATTTCTTAGTTAGCCAGGTGGACAATGATGCTATGATGATTGATTAATACATAATGACTTGAACGCTACTGAAGCAAAGATTCTGCTAAAAAGCAATTTGAGTGGCAGGAAGGTTTATTGTGAGGAAAAAGTAAACAAGTTCAACAGAATAACAGAGCAAGTTTGTATCTTAACCAGTAGAGTGTTTGATGGATGGTATTTTCAGATAATGCTTTAACCAGGACTGAATTCTTGGAAAATACTGTGCTCACAGAACACAGATTTATCTTTTAACATGATTTCTCAATGGATTACTGAAAAAAAAAAACACCTTCATTGTTATGTCAGCAGAAATGTCCCAGAGGTAACACAAACCTCTAAAATCCATAGGATTTGGTCAGTACAGCACACTCTGCAGCTTATGTGCCCATTCTAGTCAATGCTCTTGTTTCCACGGGGGAGCACAGTGGTGCATCTCAGCTCCGTCCCAGAAGCGTCTCCCCTCTCAGATCTGCTACAGATACGCGCTGAGTCTATTTTCAGCAGAGTTCGTACCCAGCACAGGTCTAGCTGAACAGAGGGGATCGACCTAGACTGCATGAGAAACACAGGAATGGCACATACCATCCACTAAATTCCACAGTAAAGCACTGTATGCAGACTCCCAACCACATGTCAGATCATATACAAAAGAAATACTCATTGATTACATGGCTAAAGTAGCTGCATTTGTCAAACCAGCTGTCATTCATGATGTCCCACCACTTTTTTAAACGATTGGCATAACTTTTGGGGAGCTGACTTCACTTTGCAAAGATACTGTGATACCGGTTGACCCATTGTGTTAGTGTCAAGTGGCAGCATTAACAGAGCTTTATCTCTGACACTGCACGTTCAGATAAACACGGACCCAAACAAAAGCAAACACAAAGCAGCCCCCCGGCATTGTTAGTGTGTGATTCAAGAGTGTGTTTGTAACAGGCAACAAAAGGGCGTAGATAATGTTCTCTCATTTCCTCTTTACATGTTGAGACACATTAATGGGGAGAGGACGAGTGTGAGATTGGTTTGGTTAATCACTGAGTGAAAAAGAGGAGCAGGTAAACTGATGATGAAGAGAGGTGGAGGCAGCAAACAGATTTTTTTTTTGTATTGTAGTCAGTTCATACTCAGAGGCAGAATAGTTAAATGGGCAAAATCAAACAATGTCGTGAAGGCAGCATTAATCACACCTCGCTAAGCTTCTTTCATTCTTTTAAAATAACTGTTTGGCTATAACCTTGAAACGCAGATTTTTCATTATATACTTGAGCAAATATTTTAACACTTTAGAACAATGTTTGTCAGCATACGCTTGCAAATAATCTGAAGATTTTGTAATCTACATCGGATCATGAAGAGATTGTAAGAATTTGGAGAAATCCATGTACAAAAGAGATAAGGTACAGACTAGGGTTGTCACAATACTTAAATTTCAAACCCAATATTGATAACCAGGAATTTACTCGATACCTTTATCGATACCATGGGGATAAAAGATGACAAATACTTTAAAAGGCATAAAATATATATTTAATTAACATGAAAAACAGAACGGCAGATAAATTATCAATTAACTTCTCTCTGCTTCAGGCTGCACCTTTAAGAGAAGAAAACATGTTTGAGTCAAGTTAGTGAGCTAAAGGCTGCTAGCCGTGGGCCCGAGGCTAATGGCTAATAACAAAACAAACAACATTCACTGAGAATAAGGCTAACTTCAGCTATCACAAATTACAGTGGAGCGCTAGCCACAGCTTATCACAAAACAACGAACATTCACTGAGCATAAAGCTAACCATGGCTACCACAGATTAATGCTGCCACCGGCCAGACAAACATCGAAAAATCAGTTTGATAAAGTAAGGTAAAGGATGAACGGGGGCTTTACTAACCTGCCAGAACTTGTCATGAAGATCAGGGTGCGGTGTGGGTGTGGGAGGTGGTACTCATAAAACACCCTGTAAAACACTTATTTAATTTAAAAATGCTTGAAATTACATTTCTTTTCATTTTCTTCAATTGATATTTAAACCAAATTTTAAACTCAGTCATCTAACTTGGTTCAGTTTATGACATTTCTTTGTCAGGGATCATGGGCTGGGGAATGTCTTCATACATTTAGGTTAAGAAATATAGAGTAATTATCTTTTAGTAAGAAGCTACAAATAGTCTAGGTTGGCCTGCTCTTGCTGCCCCACGACCATGAGATTGTAAGCAAGGCTGTCTTGCAGGAGCCCAAACTATCTGTCTGTTGGAACATGTAATCTCTGCCAGGGTCAAGACGAACCTAAACAAAGTGTCGTGGGGCAGACATGTCATCATGAGGGGCCTTCTGGAGAACACACACACACACACACACACACACACACACACACACACACACACACACACACACACAGAGCATGAAAGAGAGTAGAAGTAAAGCTAGAGAGGCTTCCTTGGGTCTTGGTCGAGACTCTGTTTGTCATCTGTACTGATTTCTACATCTGTACTATTAAAGACGCCCAGGCTGTTCTTCAGATCTCATCATGTCTCCTGTGCATTGATTATGCTGGACTTTCCACAACATAATTGGCGAGCTTTAGCCAGAATTCGTTTCGGGGGACAAGGGACCATGGTTCTGCGAACTTCACATGGGATAAGGACACTCTGTGCGCACAAAAAGAAAAAGGTAGCATATTTCCTAAAATTTGGTTGAGAGTTCTTCTCCCTGTGAGGTGGTGCGGACTACTGTTCTCTGTCCTCTTCGAATCAAAGAACCTAGAATAGAAATAAGAGGAGACAGTGGGAATGAAGACAGTCTGAGAAAACTGCATGCATGCAGTCAGCTGATCAAAGTCTGCTAAATTTGTGAGGAAGCCAATTGAAATTGAATATATATCAGCTGATTTAAGAGAAACTGCAGTTGACTGTGTGAAATTGCCTCACGCTGTTGCATGTGTGAGATGCCATATGTAGAGCTGTAGGCTGCTACATATGAGGGATGCCATATGAGAAGCTATAGGCTGCTGCATGTGATGAATGCCATATGAGAAGCTGTAGGCTGCTGCATGTGATGAATGCCATATGAGGAGCTGTAGGCTACTGCATGTGATGAATGCCATATGAGGAGCAATAGGCTGCTGCATATGAGGAATGCCACGTGTAGAGCTATAGGCTGCTGCATATGAGGGATGCCACGTGTAGAGCTATAGGCTGCTGCATATGAGGGATGCCACATGTAGAGCTATAGGCTGCTGCATATGAGGGATGCCACATGTAGAGCTATAGGCTGCTGCATATGTGAGATGCCATATGTAGAAGCCATAGGCTGTTCTATGTGTGAGAAGCTATAGGCTGGGTGCAGAAGCACTTCGTCTTCCTAAAGGGTGAGACCGCCTCACGCTGCTATAAGTGTGAGATTGTCACATGTGAAGCTATCGGCTGGGTGCAGAAGCACTTCGTCTTCTTCAGAGTGTGAGATTGCCTCATGCTGCTATAGGTGTGAGATTGTCATATGTGACGCTATAGGCTGGGTGCAGAAAAGCACTGGCCAGTAGCTTGGGGAGACAGCCGGGCCCGGGTTGTGATGTGTTTTTTTTTTTTTAGGCTGAATGCCTGGAGATAAAAAGGTTCAGGGTAATTTTTGGGATAACAAGGGGAGGGGCAGACACGAGTGTGTCTGTCCATTGTTGAACTGTGAATTTTAGACCATCTTTCATGAGCTCTGAAAGGTGGCAGCTGATGGACGAGCAGATTCATCTCGTAATACATACGTGGATTTTCTTTCTGGAAAACTCCACTAGAAAGTGGATTTGTCATGCGAAGTTCCGCTGAGGCTTAAGAAAAAGCCAAAAGGAGAACGAAAGTGGCATATTTCCTCCTAAATTCTGATCCAGAACTCTAGAGGGCCGAATAAGTATAATGACGGAATAGTAGATATTTGAAATGAACATATATATCTCTTTTATATGTCGAAGACCTCACAAAATCAGTGTTATAATTGGACTTAAATTACAGATACAGATTGGCTTGATGAGCAGGAGATAGAAAAAGAGGTCAATAAGGATAGGCTGAAAAACCTATTCAAGGATCCCAATTGAACAAGCACGTCCCATATCTCCTGACCAATTGTAGAAGAATCACACAAATTGAAAAAAAATCACACAAATTGGAAAAATTGAAGAAATCAAAACAAGAATTAAAATAGAAGACTGCTGACTGAAACCAGTGACTGACTTTGACTTCAAACACGTGTGAAAGGGTATACCATTGTGTGATGAAAAAGTGAAGTGTGTGGGTTGATTGGATGTTTGTGTGTGTCTGTTTTGTTCTGTGTCAACTAAGTTCTCTGGCAGTGTTCACAGCCAGACTCTGCATCTGTGTGTGTGTTATGTTAGTCAAAGATTGCTGTGTTTTCCTCACTTGTGTTTATTTCATAGTTGTTTATGTGAATACTGTGCTCATTGCGGTCATGTTATCAGTTGAGACATAGAAGGTTAAATACTCCTGGGAAAGAGGTTCTGTTCCTAGTACCATGATGAACACTCCTGATATGAAGGTTTTAGCTTATGCTCGAATATTATGTTTGTTTTTTTTTTTTGTTGTGAACACGTCTTATGCTCCGTAACCAATTTTCTGTGTTAAAGCTGCTGAAATAATATTTGTAAAAGTATAAAAGATACAAAAAGGGGAAAAAGAAATGAGGTACCACAAGTGCGAAACTTCTAAAACTTCAAATCTAAGAGTTGCTTCTATACATCTGCTGTTTTTGCCAAAATACTGGGTTTTTTAAATATTATTGAAGCTGTTAATATCAATACTGACTATTGCTATAGAACTGCAGTTAAGGCAAAAGCTTTATACTGTGTATTTTTTGGGAATTTTACAAAACTGCTGGGGATCAAGTTTTGATGTGTGTGCTCATTTGAATAATAAATTTTACAAAAACCATGATCAGAAAGGGAAGATTAGTTTAACTCCAATTGCACTGGTAGGGTGTAAATATCCTGATCACTTAAAAATATCCAAAAACTTACAAAGAAATGGGAACAATGAGTCAAGGGGTTTGAATTTTTATGACCTAGGGGAGGCACATCTGATTTGGCTGTGTGTGAGGATTTGGAGCAGCGAATCTAAGGCCATAAACACAAAGATAAAGTAAAACACGCAAAAACAAGAGATATGGAACTAAAAGTACTGGACATGTTCAAAGATTTGTGTCATTTTCATACTTTATATTATTTGTTTTTTCTTACTCATGCGATGATCTTTTGAACTAATAAATAAGAATAGAATAAAAACTAAAACTTTTCTATCTTAGGTTGCCTTTAAACTTATTATTATTATTATTATTATTTTTTTCTTATTTATCTCTTTTGAATTTCCAAATGATTTATAATCATTGCTATTTTTTTTCCCATATGTTTTGAAAAGGAAATTGACAGTTTTGGTGAAATGTTAACCCTCTTTGGCCCTGAGGTTAGACTGAAATCCAGATTATGGCCCTTGCTGTGGTTGAGTTTGACACCCCTGGCCTAGATTATGTTCGCTTGGAAATGCACTGATAGTATGTTTTCAATCTTAAGAAATGGCACACAGGCTAGCTATGTGCTGTGGAAAACCACACACCTTGTTGGGCTGATTGCCAGACTACCACAAACTGAACAGGGGGCAGGGAGATGGATATCGGTTTTTGAGGATGAACTGTAAAGAAAATGTTGACTACACCAGACATGAAAGCACTCTTGGCTCAACTGCTGGGAACTAAGACGATGGAGAAGTCTCTGCGCAAGGCAAAACAAGGTTGGATGACGAATCCCATGATAGATGGGAGTGAGTTCAATGCATATTGTGATGTGATGTGGAGTACAGACTCAGGCCACGATGGTGGCCACCTCTAAGGAAGACACTGCAGAAGAGACCCAGCGATGCAGACCATGCAGATGCTAACTGCGGTAAAACCTGTGACAGTAACCTGTTTAATCACCTGTTGTGAATGTTTATCCTCAGACAGAACCCTGCTCCATAGAGAGGATATATCCCGGCAGGGGGAGAGAGTGGAATTCTGACGGACGTGTGACGTCCAAAGACCTGCTGGGGATGTGATCATACCGGACATTTTTGACAACTGCCCAGACCAGGGACGCCTCTGGCTGGAGCTGTGGTGGGGGGCCCCAGCCCAGACAATGTGAAAATGGTGGCTTACTACAGTGTGATTTTTGTGGATGATGGAAAAAGTTAATTGTTAGTTTTAATTTTAACCCTGTTGACCTTATAGACCAAAGAGCCCTATGTAGAAGTAACATTCAAATTTGGTGCTCACCGCAAGGTGTGTAAGTAGACAGTTATGGTTTATAGTTTTAAAGTAAATATCGTGACGTTAGCATTGTAACATTCCTGTTCTGTTAGTTTAATACTGATGAATCTAAATGCAGCTGTGCTGAATCCACACACACTCCTCACAGATGTGCCACCTAATGTAAAAGTAATAGGAAGCTATCAAAGGCCAGTAAGGCCACAGAAAATGGTTTAGAGTCAAATAACTAGTTTTTGTACCAGTAGTATTAACAAACAAACTTAGGATCTGACCTTCACAGTGATTCACACTGTGCAAGGGGGGAGATGATGAGACAATTAAAACGACATTTTTAGAATATGCTGACAATAGTTGATAAACTTTTGGGTCATTGTGATATGTGTTTTGTTAGATAAATTGAAGAGAACAATAAAACAGTAGTGGGACACTTTCCAGTTCCAGAGAGACGCTTTTAGAAATCTATTCATAGACAATATGGACATGGTTAAAACTGCCAAGGGATATGTTACATGTTTGTAATGATGACGGGTTCAGTCGATGGATGGAAGCAACACCATCAAAAGATCTTGGAGTCAAAATAAATCTTTCACTGCATGATTTGGTACATCATTTTGGGGAAGAAAGTTAATCTCTCAAGTAAATATCTGATCAGAGAGTTTGCACTAACACTAACCTATAGGAAGATGCTTTGCTACTTGCGCTTATGAGCTTTCACAATCAAAAGCACTGAGATAAATCTTTCACTGCATGATTGACTAACTTACAAAGCTATGCTTTACTGCGGCTAAATAATTAAGTTTTTCGCTTGAGCAGCTGAAAATTAGTGAATTAAATATATGAGGCAGCTAACTACGATGCAAAGATCTATCGATTAGCAGGAGGAGTGCCAAAATCTGATCCCAGTCAAGAGGTGGAGGCCAGTCAAGCCAGAGCATCAGGTGTACATCACCGTCCTTTGAGGAGGGTGGCACAAGGAACGAGGAGAAGACCTGAACACTTTGGTCCTGGTGAACTCTACTTCAGTGCAAGAAGAGGGCAATATGATGTGGCGTCATCTACCACTGACTGCCCAGAAAAAACAAGGGAAGTATGACTTGATAAGAGACACTCCCAGAATGACTGTAGCACTCGTCCTGAAAGTAACTGTTTTCCTGGTGTTGCTGCTGAGGGACAATGTGTGGAGAGAGACCGAGAGAGAGACTGATGACAACAATGAGGGTGAAGGTCAAACTGGTGCCAGTACAGCTGTGAGAAGAAGAAGTGGGAGACATTGTTATCGCGGGTGAGTGCGATGCAACCCAAAACACAATCCACACCACTCCAGACAGAGCTACAACCCATGCCAACATTCACAGGTTATTACAGATTTACAATTAGGTTAAATAGATAATGAAATTAAAAAGAATTTTTTTTATATAGATAATCAGAAACAAGAGAGCCCTACATACTAAGTAGATAAGATATATTGGAGGAAGGGTTCCAGATGAATTTATCACATAGGGAGTAAAATGAATGCTGAAAAGTCGTGTGTGGCAATAAAATAACAGCTGGAGGTTGTAAATGGGGAAGAGATTTTTGCCAGATTTTTACAAATAAGAGAAGAACTGTTTTTAAACGTAAAATTAAGTAATTATGTGAAAGAAAGATGTGTTTGATTTGATTTTGTTTGATTTCATTTGTTGATGATTCAGGGAAGATGTTTAGATTAAAGGATATTTACATGTAACAAGTCCACTAACATGTCAATACAGACAAGCATTAAATTGGGTATTTGAAGAGACAAGATGTGTCTTAAAAGTTTGGAAAGTACTGTTGCAGATACATTTCTAACAGAACAAGCCCCTGGGAGAGGTTTTTCTAAAGCTATGAAGGGTAAAGAAAAGTTTAAAGTGGAAATGCGGGAGAATGCTGGTAAGGGGGGCCTGTTAATGGACTGGGTGGTCCAAATTTTAGATGAATGAGAGCCGTTTTGGCCCAGCCATGAGTGCTGCGATAGCCCTAATTCTGGTTTCCTTTCTCACATGTCGCATCGTACACATCCTTTGGAGACATTGTTGGAAGCTGACGGAGGAGATGGGACTTATGGTGGACCGAACACTGGCCCATGAACTACAGGAAATGCCACCAAAACAGCTGGCACAGTGTGTGACTAATCAAGGAGGGACTGAGGGACCTGAACGGTTCCTGGACTTTGAAGGAGAAGAAGATGAGCAATGGACTTTGAGCAACACAAACAACATGTTTGTGTAATGTAATGTAATGATATTATCAAATGTGGACACTTTCCTCTATGCAAATGAAATTATGTCAGCGCATCCAGGAAATGGATGGTCGCCAGGGCGCGGGGCCGTAAGATTCTTTCCCTGCTGAAACAGCCGAGCAGGGTTTTCAGTCTTACGCGCTGATATAATTTGAAATGATCCTAGCTACGGTATGGTATGGTACTGATTTTTGTTTCTTTAATCACATAAGGATGTTTAGTGTTTGATATGATGATCAGGTTTTTATGAAAGTAAGAACTTTCAAAGGGAGGATGTGTAGGGGAATGTCTTCATACATTTAGGTTAAGAAATATAGAGTAATTATCTTTTAGTAAGAAGCTACAAATAGTCTAGGTTGGCCTGCTCTTGCTGCCCCACGACCATGAGATTGTAAGCAAGGCTGTCTTGCAGGAGCCCAAACTATCTGTCTGTTGGAACATGTAATCTCTGCCAGGGTCAAGACGAACCTAAACAAAGTGTCGTGGGGCAGACATGTCATCATGAGGGGCCTTCTGGAGAACACACACACACACACACACACACACACACACACACACACACACACACACACACACACACACACACACACACACACAGCATAAAAGAGAGTAGAAGTAAAGCTAGAGAGGCTTCCTTGGGTCTTGGTCGAGACTCTGTTTGTCATCTGTACTAATTTCTACATCTGTACTATTAAAGACGCCCAGGCTGTTCTTCAGATCTCATCATGTCTCCTGTGCATTGATTATGCTGGACTTTCCACAACAGGTGCGGTGTGGGTGTGGGAGGTGGTACTCATAAAACACCCTGTAAAACACTTAAAAATGCTTGAAATTACATTTCTTTTCATTTTCTTCAATTGATATTTAAACCAAATTTTAAACTCAGTCATCTAACTTGGTTCAGTTTATGACATTTCTTTGTCAGGGATCATGGGCTAGATTTAGCTCTCTTATTACCCCCCAAAGCCCTTTGTTTGAACTTTTTCTGTTTTCTATTTTCTGAACAAATCATTTTTTTTGCTCAGCTCATCCAACATCAAATGACCACACCTGACTTATCAAAATAGTCAACTGTAAATAATCTTAAAAAATGAGTTAAAATAAGTACACTTAAGTACTTCAACATGCACAAGAGCCAGGACCAGTAAATTATTGCTTTGCTCATATATGAGTTCTTGGTTAGGATTAAGAACGTCTTAATAAATGCTACTGCCCCATTTTTACCATCTAGTTTTGTCAGATTGGGGAGTCTTTTCGAGGCTTCATCCATCCAGGTTCCCTTAGCTGAGTACTTTTCCTCCAGAGGATTTCCAACAAACACCAGGTCTACGAGACACGGCAGGTCAGCCAGCCTCATAAACTCCCCTGCACAAGACAGGAAACAAACTTTATACAATATAAAAAGGCCACAACAAACCAACAGTATATAAAGTTAAATATAAGATACAGTTATTTCTTTAAGATGCAGAGTCACTGAGTCATTTAAGTTTTCATGTCCATTTGAAAACTGCCCCAAAAATGCAGTTAATGCACCAACAGGGTCAAACATTACTCCTCCAACTATCTTATTTTGTGAACTTTGTTCATGAATGTAGCTTACTCCAATTTTTGACCAGGTTGTTGGACATGTAGAGGACTTTGAGGTTCTTCATAACGGAGATTCCCCTCAGTTTTTTTATCCGGTTATAGGAGATCCAAAGTTCTTCTAATGTGTCTGCTACTGCTTCCTGCTCAAACATTCACAAATAAAAACACACTACATAGTAGGTATGACTCTACAAAGCGTTCATTTGTAAATCACTAAAGCTGTACAAGTATAACAACTGCTGGGTATAAACTCTGCTTCTAATGTGACTTACCAGCCCATTTAAAGTCTTTATATTATTTCTTCCTAATGACAATATCTTCAAGTTCTCTGGAAGCACATAAAAAAATAATTTTACTGAAGTTCATATAAACTGATGAGTGTGATCATGTGTGATGATACTGTCTGTGTTCATGCAGTGAGCACTCACTCAAGCCGTTAAGATTAGCAATTCTATCAATGCAGTTTGTGGACAGAGAGAGTTTCCTGTGGAGGACACAGACCATTTACTCATCAGGTATTTGAAAAATGACATGCTGGTATGACTTAAACACAATTAATGTTTCAGTTTTGGAGTCTGTGGTTATCTCCAATCTGCATGTTTATGTAGGTAACATCAGCAGACCTTGACTGAAGTATCAGTTTATCACTCATTTGTGTTTGTAAGTTGCTCCAAACAGTTACAACAGGAGACAAAAGCTGACAGGAGATTGGCTTTCATTGGTTTAATTGTATTTGCAAAGGAAACTGACCTCACTAACCAGGCACCACACTGCTTTGACTGAAGGTGCACAGAAAGAAGCTTTTTTATTTTAGCCTTTTATATCTACACTGACACCACTCTGACAATTAAGTTATAGGTGAGGTTAAGTCCCTAAAATATTCAAATTAAAACAATTTTTCAAATCCTTGCAAATCCTCCAGCGATTTTATAAAACTCCTTGCATGAAACAAAGCAAAATGCCATTTTTTGTTCATTTTGACCATGTGAGGGGAATTGTTAGACCTTTCAGGAAGGCTCCAGCATATAGCCAGTGTCAGATTAATTGCTGTACAAATAAAGCACATCAATATGTGTTGTATAGTATAAAAACTAGTCCAGATAAGACACAGATCTGGTGAAGGACTCACTTGCATTTTGAGAGTGTAGAGAGCGAAGCACCCATTTTGGCTATAGAAGGAATCTGACCATACAGTTTAACTTCTGTAGCCTCGCTCGCTTTCTCTCCGGACTTCTCCTCCTGTTGACACACACAGAAACACACAAATACAAAAATTACATCTAGCATACAAAAAACACAGCTCCATAATGATCCATCTGTCAGCAGTCCACTACATCATGTTGTTGACTTATTATGCTGCTTAAATTGCTTTCCTGTCAAAGCATTTGGTTTAAGGTGGTGCATCATTTATTTAAGTTATTGCAGTATGACTCCAGTTCAATAAAGCAACAAAGCTAATTTTTAAAGAGAACATTTTTTATTTATTTATTTATTTATTTTTTATTTAATTTTTTTTTTTTTTTTGGGGGGGGGGGGGGTACCGGAAAGTTTTTAGGCCACAAGATCAGAACTTCTCTTTCCCACAAATAAACTCAAACAAGACAATCAATAGATTTAATTGGCCACTGAAGCAGGTCTAAGGCACAGAATCATACAGTATATCATCCTAGTTTCTTAAGTTAATTTGGATAAGACTCACCCATTTAGCCAGTGCCTCTTTCACTTTAGTTGCTTTTGCCTGCAGACATGAGATGCCATTCAGTTAGACAGGAAATAGCAGGATTATATTAGGATAAAAAACAGCCGACAATTTCAGAAACAAACAAACAACAACGTAGTTCAGAACTAAAGACACGTTTTTCGTCAGTTTTAATGTAAATGTACTCTGCCTTTGCTGTAAATGTAAAAACAAGGCTCCACAATGCATCTTTAGTCGTGCTTTTCGTCTTCAAACACGATCTGTTGGCGTTACACTAGCTGCAGAGCGTAGACAAAGTCCTTGATTCGGCTCTGAGTAAAAGATAAATCACATTTTGACATCTTTGTTTAGCTAACTAGCCAATTACAGTTTGCCCATTATCAGCTCACAGCGACTCCAATATTGCGTGTAATGTCACCAGCCACTATCAGAACCAATGTGACAGCATTCTCCCATTCTAAAATAAAGTTTCAATCCCGTATATCAACTATTTTATCCCAATAAGTAACGATAGATAGACAGCGAGAACCGAAACACTCACCATGTTGACGGTTGAGTCTGCACTGGTTGCTATGGCATTGAGATGCAGACTAGGGGCTGCGCGTGCGCAGTTTGCACTGGGCAAATTACTTGGCCTCTGCTATCATAGACATAATAAAAGATAGACCCCGCATCGGCCGCTACCACGAATGGGCGCTGTCGAGAAATGCGGCCGCCATCTTGGTCCGGTCATCCGCCTCACTCTGCACCGCTGTTTAACCGGCGGAATGAAGTCTGAGTGCATTAAATGAATCATAGTTCGCTCAATACTACGTAATTTTCTTCTCTGCAAAGGCCATTCAAAGAGGCATGATAGAGGCCATATTTTTTTGGGCGTTTTCAAATACTCATGAATGAATAAAATGATATTTCAGAACATGGCAGCAGTGGCTGTATTATAGTATAACAATTAATCAAGGATATATCAAGGTTTAGAGCTAGGTTCCTGCTATGTCTCAATAATTATAATAACTGGCGGTTTTAATAGGCCAATTCAATATATATTGATTTGATTATATTTTATTTAGTTTAATTTTATTTATCCATTTGTAGACACACACAAATAATGTCATATAGAAGCACTATTTTAATAACTGGAAAATACACACAAAGAAATACACACAAATATATAGCCTACATATCACAAAAAATTTAAACACAAGAACAGCATGACAGGACAGCGTCTAAACTACATGTCAATTTGCTTGTTGGCTACACAGCACAGAGGAATCACTTGCTGCGAATTTCTCCCTCTAACAGCAATCTCCCACTTCTTCCTCAAGTTTTTGTCCTTAGGAAATCTTCAAAATGAAACAGGAGATCACCACAAAGAAATCTTTAATAAAACAGATAATAAAACAGAGCTCACTTTCTTCCTTCTTCTTTCTATTTTATTTCTTAACGTTTCTGAGAACCTCTCTCAAACAAAAGTTTTTCTTTTGGATCTGTCGGCTACATACTGCTGCCTTTTTTTTCAGCCCTTACACAGCTTAGGATTTTCAAGTGGATAAATGTGAACATGAAATAAAAATGTCCTATGGCAATATCAATGTGACGATGTAACAAGGTTTAACACTGCATATGTTGTCTTCTGAAACTGTGTTTGTCTCACTGTGTATTAAAAAATCTTTCTATCTTTCTATGTCCTAAACAGACTTGTACTTATTGTCAAATTTGTCTTTTAGTCACTGAAGTATGAGCGCTTTCTGTCCCTTTCAAACTGTCTCCTTTGAAAACAAAAGCACTTTTTCTCCCCCTATAGAATTTTAATAAAGTATATATATATATATATATATATATATATATATATATATATATATATATATGTATAGTATTTTAACATGTCATTTGGTGAAAAAGTGTAATAACACAGACTACCACACGTTTCTACAGGATGGAGACCCTGATCAAGTCTATCAATCCCTCAATCCTGTTGCAATAGATCAAGACCAAGTCTACTGCACCATCCCACCAAAGCAAACGGTAAAGTTTCACACGCTACACTTTAGCTCTAATCAATCACTTCATAGTTGGTTGGTTGGTTGGTTGGTAGATAGAAGGACTGCTCAAGAAAGTAAGGAAAAACATGATAATAGCAGTTAATCTCTAAGTCAATCACACTTTTGGGACATTGACTGTTGGGAAAAAGAGGCAAACTGCTAGACAGCCCCTGTTAAAGGTGTTTTACATGTGGTGCCCACAGTCCATGCATATCAAACAAAATTTCAATAACTTTCAATAAATGTTTGGTCTTTTTTTTGTTAAGATCACAGTGGTGTGTATGCTGATAAAGCCACAGATACTTTACCAGCATAGTTGCCAAGTTTGCTTACTATAAGCCACTTTGGACTCGTTTTTCTCAGAAGTCGCTTGTAAATCTCATGAGTTGCGTTTTTTTGGGCTTGTTTTTCACTAGTAGTTGCTCATTTGGCCTTTTTTTCTGTCTGTGTAAATCCCCCCTGATTATCTCACAGCTCCCCACAAAAGCAAAGCAAAATGGGAGTGCAGTAGGTAGTTTGTCCTTTCCAGACCACTATTTCCTAAATCGCGCCCGCTCGAGTACTCAGCACCATGGATGTATCATTATGATACGATATCTTTGCTCGGCACACCCCAAAAACACACTCACACCTGGCGCATCATGCTTGTTGCTGCCCAATTTGTACCCGGAGTACAACAACAACGCATGCACTGATATTTACAACAGCCATATGTAATAGCCTACAAGACTTTGCGGCATTAAGTGGAAAAGAGAGATGTCCGATAACGAATGTAACACTCCCCTCCCACAAGACAAAGAATCACGTTTTATATCTACGCCAGTAAGCAGGTTGGAGCACAAGTAGATAACCAGGATGGAGAAGAATTTCATAATAAAAAAAGTAGCATCTCATAAATTTAGACTATTCAGTTATTTTGTACTATATTTGTCAAAGAACAGGTTGAGCGTGCAAAAGGAATATGTAGGTGGTAAATTTTTTTCCCCTTCAGTCATTGTATATTGTTTACTGCGCAGATCGTGTTCTGGGTACTGATCGGGCACTGACGATGCTCATCAATGCCAGAGTCCAGAGTGACAGAGACATGAGTAAGGAGAGAGAGAGTGAGAATGAGTAAAAGGAAGTGGGGAAATATGATTAAAAATTAAATTTTTAACCCTAACCCCTTTCTTTTAATCAGAGTTTAAAATTTTTAGTTATTCAAAGAATTTAAGTTATCATTATAGTATTCAAAGTTTTTATGTTAACTGTGTTTATTATAATTTTGCTGTTGCTTATGCATAATGAAATAATAAATGTATATATCTTTACTGTTAACCAGCAGCCTCTGTTTCAAACAATGTGGCGCGTTGACTGTTGGGCTTTTTTTGGGCTTGTTTTCATCGAGCTGGTTTCTTGTTTCTCTCAGGAGATCAACATTGTTTATCAGATGTAGGTTGGTATATCTGATTAACTTTTGGTGCACGACGTCTCCAATATTAGCTAAAAAATATGAAATCAGTTAAGTCAATTAGTAGTCTTATTTTTAAACTTCATGCAGCTGGGCTTAGCTTAAGGATTGTCAACATATTTAGTCACTCATCATGGTGACAACGAAATATGTTTGTAAATCAATAAAGAAATATTGAGAAACATGTCTTCACTTTTTGCAGAAAAGCTTTTCCCATTCATTTCATTTTTGCCCAAAGTTTCAAAGCTGAGGACTTCATCAGAGAGCTATGTCTCTCTTGAATCTCTATTCACTGATTTTTCCTCAGTTCAAAACTATGATTTTGGTTTCTTACCCTGCTGATGTATGGATATTGTGTTCCCACAGGTGCAAGACACTGATCAAGTCTATCAATCCCTCAATCCAGTTACAGTAGATCAAGACCAAGTCTACTGCACCATCCCACCAAAGCAAAGGGTAAAGCTCCGCACACTGAGCATTGGCTGAAAACTTTAGCTCTAATACATAAATACATGGATCAACACCAAGCTCCCTGACTCACACTCTCACATGCCAAGTGAAAAATTCAATCGGTAAAACAGATATTCATATAATTTCCACTTTTCTTAATGCAAAACTCATTTATCAACCAAATTGTTGTTAAGTATGTGCATGCACAACTGCATTTTCTTTTATTTACTTTTGTCCCATTTGCCCCATATTAAATTGGTCATCATAAGTTTCTATTTTTTAAATAGATGTGTGAAAATGAAACAGTTGCTTTTTTTGTGGTTGGTGGAACTGCTGAGTTTCGCTTCACTGTGGTTAAGCAGAGTACTGTGTTGTGCTGCACTGTGGGTTTTAAGAGGTGATATTTATTTCTGTTAGTCATGCATTACGGTGCAATGCATTTACTTTTGCATGTTAAAATTCTTAATAAAAGATATATCTTTCTTTCTCATGTGTATGTTTTTGTTTGTTTGTTAGTTTTTTTTTGTATATAAGTCTATTACATTCCAGCAAATGCTGTGTATGTGCGTGTCTACATGCATGACTGTGGGTGTGTTGAAAGGAAGGGGAGGAGCGTCTGCCCTGGATGGGGAGAAGTTGAGAACAAGGAAACTGTAAAGACAGTGGTTAGACCAGATAATCAGTCAGTTACACAATGGCACAACTATACGTTTACTTTTGTCTTCTCTCTGGTGAGTTTTTATTATTATTATTGTTATTATTATTATTATTATTATTATTATTATTATTATTATTTGTTGCTGCTGCTCATGACGCCTATATACAAATGTAGCAGTTGTTGAATAAGTACTTTTGTTATTTTCACTGTGTTCAAGTTATTAGTTTACCTCTTTTTAAGAAAATAGAAGCCTTACTATTTCAGCCAATGAGTTTTGACATAAAGTTTAATTAACACTGTGACATGGACCAACTATTTCCTTTATTTTTTCTTACAGCTCTGAGAACGGTGATGACTTTGACCGTTAATGGTCGAGTTGGAGGACATTTAACCTTCAAATGCTCAAATTGGAATGTTTCGAGTAATGTAAAACACAATGTCAAGTACTTCTGTAGCAACCCTTGCAAAAATGACAAACAAATCATTGTCAAAGCAGAATCTGAAAAGTCAAAACTTAAGGATAGAATTGAAATAGTTAACTCTGGAGAGATTTTATATGTGACCTTCTTTAATCTCCAAAAATCAGACTCTGGGAAGTATTATTGTGGAGTGGAGAGAGGTGGCTGGGATTCATACATAGAAGTGGATCTAACAGTCAAGGATGGTAAGTTTATCTTTTTTTTTTTTAATTCAAAACATTTCCATGTCAGAAAATGTATACCTATACAAACAGCTCATAGATTGATTCAAACTTCATAATGTTATTTTCAGCTAAGCCTTCCAGACCTAAGAAAACTCCAGAAACAGTCAGTGATATGGAAACAACAAGTCCATCTGCTTCTACAAATGGCTCCACTGTCTTTACTGACATGCCAACTACAAATGAAACCCTAAATATGACTACATCTATTGCATCAGCATCACATGGAGCTGGTATGAAGTGCATGCCCCTAATTTACTGCATATGTGTTACATTTTTTTGTAACTGACTCTAAGTTTAAAAAACCTGTGAGCTGTATAGAGGGGTATAAGTCCTGATAAAACATAGCCTCTGATACACACTCCTATAAACAAAGGGATTTTTAAACCCATCTGTGACTGTGTAAACATTTGTGAGGTCCAAAAAAGAAAGTTCACAGAAGGAGAAAGATTTTGAGTCTCTTTTATAGACTTGAAATAATAAAGAAAATCATTTAAATTGGTTGTAAATTATTCAATCCATTTGTACATTGGGGGTTCAGCTTTTACCTACGACAAGAGTACAGGGGGCTGCAGAAAAAGTCCCCTTTTTAATTCTATATTTTTCTCTTTGTTCTTCCAGGGTACGCTCTATATTTGATTGTAGGATTGATTGGTTTGATAACTCTGCTGATGGCTGGACTGATCCTTACCATTAGGATAATAAAGAAACGAATGGGTAAGGCAGCTGTGCTGTTGTTGTCAGTTTTATCTTTGTCCCTGGACTTACTCAGTATATGACTTTATCCCTGTGTGTGCATGCATGTGTGTGTGTGTGTGTGTGTGTGTGTGTGTGTGTGTGTGTGTGTGTGTGTGTGTGTGTGTGTGTGTGTGTGTGTGTGTTTAGTGGATATTGCCATGCCACAACAACAGCCACCAAGAATGGTGAGTTTTGTTCTTCTGAATTGTAAATCCTGTTTAAAGTTTCTTCTGTTGGATCTGTCGGCTACATACTGCTGCCTTTTTTTTCAGCCCTTACACAGCTTAGGATTTTTAAGTGGATAAATGTGAACATGAAATAAAAATGTCCTATGGCAATATCAATGTGACGATGTAACAAGGTTTAACACTGCATATGTTGTCTTCTGAAACTGTGTTTGTCTCACTGTGTATTAAAAAATCTTTCTATCTTTCTATGTCCTAAACAGACTTGTACTTATTGTCAAATTTGTCTTTTAGTCACTGAAGTATGAGCGCTTTCTGTCCCTTTCAAACTGTCTCCTTTGAAAACAAAAGCACTTTTTCTCCCCCTATAGAATTTTAATAAAGTATATATATATATATATATATATATATATATATATATGTATAGTATTTTAACATGTCATTTGGTGAAAAAGTGTAATAACACAGACTACCACACGTTTCTACAGGATGGAGACCCTGATCAAGTCTATCAATCCCTCAATCCTGTTGCAATAGATCAAGACCAAGTCTACTGCACCATCCCACCAAAGCAAACGGTAAAGTTTCACACGCTACACTTTAGCTCTAATCAATCACTTCATAGTTGGTTGGTTGGTTGGTTGGTAGATAGAAGGACTGCTCAAGAAAGTAAGGAAAAACATGATAATAGCAGTTAATCTCTAAGTCAATCACACTTTTGGGACATTGACTGTTGGGAAAAAGAGGCAAACTGCTAGACAGCCCCTGTTAAAGGTGTTTTACATGTGGTGGCCACAGTCCATGCATATCAAACAAAATTTCAATAACTTTCAATAAATGTTTGGTCTTTTTTTTGTTAAGATCACAGTGGTGTGTATGCTGATAAAGCCACAGATACTTTACCAGCATAGTTGCCAAGTTTGCTTACTATAAGCCACTTTGGACTCGTTTTTCTCAGAAGTCGCTTGTAAATCTCATGAGTTGCGTTTTTTTGGGCTTGTTTTTCACTAGTAGTTGCTCATTTGGCCTTTTTTTCTGTCTGTGTAAATCCCCCCTGATTATCTCACAGCTCCCCACAAAAGCAAAGCAAAATGGGAGTGCAGTAGGTAGTTTGTCCTTTCCAGACCACTATTTCCTAAATCGCGCCCGCTCGAGTACTCAGCACCATGGATGTATCATTATGATACGATATCTTTGCTCGGCACACCCCAAAAACACACTCACACCTGGCGCATCATGCTTGTTGCTGCCCAATTTGTACCCGGAGTACAACAACAACGCATGCACTGATATTTACAACAGCCATATGTAATAGCCTACAAGACTTTGCGGCATTAAGTGGAAAAGAGAGATGTCCGATAACGAATGTAACACTCCCCTCCCACAATACAAAGAATCACGTTTTATATCTACGCCAGTAAGCAGGTTGGAGCACAAGTAGATAACCAGGATGGAGAAGAATTTCATAATAAAAAAAGTAGCATCTCATAAATTTAGACTATTCAGTTATTTTGTACTATATTTGTCAAAGAACAGGTTGAGCGTGCAAAAGGAATATGTAGGTGGTAAATTTTTTTCCCCTTCAGTCATTGTATATTGTTTACTGCGCAGATCGTGTTCTGGGTACTGATCGGGCACTGACGATGCTCATCAATGCCAGAGTCCAGAGTGACAGAGACATGAGTAAGGAGAGAGAGAGTGAGAATGAGTAAAAGGAAGTGGGGAAATATGATTAAAAATTAAATTTTTAACCCTAACCCCTTTCTTTTAATCAGAGTTTAAAATTTTTAGTTATTCAAAGAATTTAAGTTATCATTATAGTATTCAAAGTTTTTATGTTAACTGTGTTTATTATAATTTTGCTGTTGCTTATGCATAATGAAATAATAAATGTATATATCTTTACTGTTAACCAGCAGCCTCTGTTTCAAACAATGTGGCGCGTTGACTGTTGGGCTTTTTTTGGGCTTGTTTTCATCGAGCTGGTTTCTTGTTTCTCTCAGGAGATCAACATTGTTTATCAGATGTAGGTTGGTATATCTGATTAACTTTTGGTGCACGACATCTCCAATATTAGCTAAAAAATATGAAATCAGTTAAGTCAATTAGTAGTCTTATTTTTAAACTTCATGCAGCTGGGCTTAGCTTAAGGATTGTCAACATATTTAGTCACTCATCATGGTGACAACGAAATATGTTTGTAAATCAATAAAGAAATATTGAGAAACATGTCTTCACTTTTTGCAGAAAAGCTTTTCCCATTCATTTCATTTTTGCCCAAAGTTTCAAAGCTGAGGACTTCATCAGAGAGCTATGTCTCTCTTGAATCTCTATTCACTGATTTTTCCTCAGTTCAAAACTATGATTTTGGTTTCTTACCCTGCTGATGTATGGATATTGTGTTCCCACAGGTGCAAGACACTGATCAAGTCTATCAATCCCTCAATCCAGTTACAGTAGATCAAGACCAAGTCTACTGCACCATCCCACCAAAGCAAAGGGTAAAGCTCCGCACACTTAGCATTGGCTGAAAACTTTAGCTCTAATACATAAATACATGGATCAACACCAAGCTCCCTGACTCACACTCTCACATGCCAAGTGAAAAATTCAATCGGTAAAACAGATATTCCTATAATTTCCACTTTTCTTAATGCAAAACTCATTTATCAACCAAATTGTTGTTAAGTATGTGCATGCACAACTGCATTTTCTTTTATTTACTTTTGTCCCATTTGCCCCATATTAAATTGGTCATCATAAGTTTCACTCCTGAACCAATGAACTGTAAAGGGGTATATTTTTTTTTTCAGTTTATGCACCATTTTCTTGACTATTTAACTTAAATGTTTAACTTTTCTTTCTGTTCCCAGAAAGCTGCTCTGGAGTCAATGCCAATCAGCACCAGCTGTGGTTCATAGATGTATTTTCATATGATCTGACCAACAACGATGAGTCTTTTTTAAATAGATGTGTGAAAATGAAACAGATGCTTTTTTTGTGGTTGGTGGAACTGCTGAGTTTCGATTCACTGTGGTTAAGCAGAGTACTGTGTTGTGCTGCACTGTGGGTTTTAAGAGGTGATATTTATTTCTGTTAGTCATGCATTACGGTGCAATGCATTTACTTTTGCATGTTAAAATTCTTAATAAAAGATATATCTTTCTTTCTCATGTGTATGTTTTTGTTTGTTTGTTAGTTTTTTTTTGTATATAAGTCTATTACATTCCAGCAAATGCTGTGTATGTGCGTGTCTACATGCATGACTGTGGGTGTGTTGAAAGGAAGGGGAGGAGCGTCTGCTCTGGATGGGGTGAAGTTGAGAACAAGGAAACTGTAAAGACAGTGGTTAGACCAGATTATCAGTCAGTTACACAATGGCACAACTATACGTTTACTTTTGTCTTCTCTCTGGTGAGTTTTTATTATTATTATTATTATTATTATTATTATTATTATTATTATTATTATTATTATTATTATTATTATTATTATTATTTGTTGCTGCTGCTCATGACGCCTATATACAAATGTAGCAGTTGTTGAATAAGTACTTTTGTTATTTTTACTGTGTTCAAGTTATTAGTTTACCTCTTTTTAAGAAAATAGAAGCCTTACTATTTCAGCCAACGAGTTTTGACATAAAGTTTAATTAACACTGTGACATGGACCAACTATTTCCTTTATTTTTTCTTACAGCTCTGAGAACGGTGATGACTTTGACCTTTGATGGTGGAGTTGGAAGAAATTTAACCTTCAGATGCTCAAACTGGAATGTTTTGAATGATGTAAAAGAAAATGTCAAGTACTTCTGTAGAAACCCTTGCAAACAAATCATTGTCAAAGCAGGATTTAAAAAGTCAAAACGTAAGGATAGAATTGAAATAGTTAACAGTGCAGAGGGTTTATTTGTGACCTTCTTTAATCTCCAAGAATCAGACTCTGGGAAGTATTATTGTGGAGTGGAGAGATTTGGCTGGGATTCATACATAGAAGTGGATCTAACAGTCAAGGATGGTAAGTTTATATATATTTTTTTTATTCAAAACATTTCCATGTCAGAATCATATACCTATACAAACAGCTCATAGATTGATTGAAACTTCATAATGTTATTTTCAGCTAAGCCTTCCAGACCTAAGAAAACTCCAGAAACAGTCAGTGATATGGAAACAACAAGTCCATCTGCTTCTACAAATGGCTCCACTGTCTTTACTGACATGCCAACTACAAATGAAACCCTAAATATGACTACATCTATTGCATCAGCATCACATGGAGCTGGTATGAAGTGCATCAATCTGAATAATCATTTATTTCTATATTGTTTTTAACACAGACATGTTTATTCTTTGATTATAGTTTAACATTTAATGTTTAACCAGTACTGTGGTACCAGGATAAATGACAAGAGGGAAATTTTAAATATTTTTAAACAACCTCCTACTTGATTGATTAATTAAGAATACATTTGCGATATTTTAGTTGTAAATTAAGGGGGGAGGGGGGTCTTGATCCTAAATACCAAAACTGTCCATTGAAGAATGGTCGATGTGTCACTTTTCTCAGCCAGCTCGTATCTTTCAAGAGACACAAGCTTCATTACACACTATTCAAGTTTAACGTTTCAAGGAACTAGAGAAAGAAGTGAAAGCAAATAGGACATGAGAAGCAGTTAACATGATGATGAAGTGTGAACAATGTTCTTTTTGTCTTTTCTCGGGTTAGGAAGTGTCCCATATCTGGTCATAGGTGGCATTGTTACGATGACGTCTCTGATGGTCCTTCTGAAAATCATGAGGAACATGAAAAAGAAACAAGAGAGTAAGATGCAAACATTCCCGCACTTATTGCTCATGTAGAAACATTAGCAAAGCTCTGACCACATATATCCCAGTCAGTGACTTTTTTTAAAAGTCACTCTTAAAAACTCATTTTTACAGACTTGTTTTTATGTGATCCTGTCTTTTTTTCTTTTTTCATCTTATTTAATCTTTACTGTCGTTTTAGCTTTTGTTACACTTTTAATATTTTCGTATTTAACCTTTCAAGCCTTTTATTGTTTTATCTCTTGCTCATTTCTACTTTTCAGTTTTATCATTACTAATATTATCGTTATTATTTTATTACCATTATCTTCTTTTATTAATTTCTTTTTCCCATTGATTTTATGTTTTCAGCTTTTATTTTGGTTCCTGTGGTCTCACTTTATGTTGCATGGTTCTTGTGTTGTCTAGGCTCCTTATGACATAAGAAAATGGCCTTCATTTTTTGTTTTTACTTCCTTGTGCTAAGCTCTTATCCTTTATGACTATTTGTCAAAGCACTTTGTAAACCTCTGATTTGAAAAATGCTTTACAAATAAAGTTATTATCATTATGATTATTATTATTAATGACTAATGTTATCACTTGTTTTTTTTAGGGGTTATTTCAAGAGCTCACATGCCACAAGACGATGTGGAGGTAAGATTTCTGAAGCTATAAAGTGACTTGTAGACTTAATGATAGTACAGAGGGTGCCAGCACAGACGCAATGATGCAGCTTTTGTTTATGCTTTATGCTTAATCAGTGTCCTCTGACAAAAAAAAAAAAATCTCATAATTCTGACTCTAGTCTGTCAAGTTTATCATTTTTATGAATATCTATGTGCAAAATGAAAAACAGGGCTGTTTCTCCAGCTGCTTGTCAGACACCTACCCTCCCATACAAGTTTCAGGCATTAAAATTACGCAATAAAATCATCAGACTTGTTTCTGATCTTCTTACTTCCTTTTATATATACCCTTGAAAGGCCCGTATATGAATGTAAGTCGATTTCATGAAAGCAAAAAAAAGTATTCAGTTTCACCCCCTCCTCACTAAAGTCTACCATCCTCTTACTTTTGAACTTTGTTTGAGCTTCTCACCATGTAAGTGTGTTTTAACATGTGGGTCTTAACTAACCACTTGTGTTTTTCTTACACTTTTCTGTTTTAAGAGTGTCGACTATGAGGAAATCAGACATGAGGACCAGCAATCAGTCAGGCAATCTCAGAGACTCACCTGCCTTTATGACTCTGTGGATCAACAAAGTGTCTACGCTAATTGTTCCTCCCACCAAAACACTGAATTAGAGGCTCAGGCTGACAACATGTATTCAAATGACCCTTATCTAAATCAGGCATCCACCTCCAGGATCTATTCAAAGAAAGCTTTTCTAAAGAACAGAGTCACAGATCTACAAGGTGACTGTTTGTACTCTGTTGCTCAACCACCCAAACAGAGAATCAAACCTGTAGAGCAATTTGAACTCAATCGATCAGACAGCAATGAAAATGATAGTTTATATTCTCTTGCTCAGCTACCACAGACAACTTAAACCCAGTGGTCAAGAGGAACTGTTTTGATCATACTGAGTATCGCATAGAGAGAGCACTTTTATAATTTGATATGAAATCAATTCCTCTATGTCTAGATACTGTTGTTGTATTAACTGTGGATTCAGTTTATTGGAAAGTGTCTCTCAGACATCAGTGTTGAAGAATAGTGCTGTCCAATAGCTGGAATAGCAGAAATAACAGCTCAAACCTTCTGGATACAGGGTCATAACACCTAAAACTCAGCTTAAAACATTACTTGTCGATAAATGACTGCGCTGTAATAACCTGAGATGCAGACAGCTCCAGTCTTTCACGTCGATACACATTTCTTGCCACTTTTGAAAAGAGAGTTTCACATTATAGGCTTGAACAAAACCACGCTCACAGCTACTGCCGCTTTCTCCTCAAATTACACTGATTGGTTTGGTTATTATTCTGACCGAGAACATCAGCATTATCTTAAAGCTTTGAAAGATGTATCTGCTTGATGACAGATATGAGATCTGTCCAATCCATCTGCTTTGCCAAGTTAGCATTACATTGCAAGCACTTATCATATTGAATAAATGTTAAAACGCCTGTATTAGTGTTATGTAATGATGCGGCTAAGGTCAGAGAGGAATCACACCATGGTGTGTTAGGATGCAATAAATCAAGTGGCACAAATTATCACTAAATTTTTAAGAATAAACACAGTCATACAAAATTTGATGGTGCTACAGTCATTAAAACTCTGTCGTATTTTGTCTTATTATGGTCAAATTTGACTTTAACAACTTGTCAGGCGTACGAGGAAGTGGGGGAGGGGAGCTTCTTCAAGTTTAGCAGTTCAATTTCCTGTTTCACAGTAAACACACAGTAAACTTTAATACCTCATACCCTCTGGTTCTTTCGTTTTACAGGACAGTGTCACAATATGTACACATATTAGCAGAGGCAGTTCTGCTGTTTAACATTTCGAATGAGATGCGATAGTCATGTACAAATGTTGTTTCCAGAAGACAGAACAGCCTTCATGCTCACTGTAAATCTGCAACCCTGCTGCAGTTACTGTATGCGTAGCAAATCTTTAAAAAGTACTTCCTTCACATACTTTGGAAGTTTTCACTGACCTAAAACTGAATAAAACTTTCGCAGGTCAAACGTATTTCTTTATCTGTGTCTACTTCCTCAGGGTGATGTGTGTGAGGCAGCTTTCGATTCTGCAAATTGGTACATACCAACACACACAGAGAGTTTGAAAGTAACTCATGGTTTTGTTGGGGGCAATGGAAGAATGATGTGGTCTTTGAGTTGTGTTTGTGGCACGAGTCATGTAAGGTGTAGAGTAGTGGTGAAGAGGCTTCCTGCAACATTGAAACTCTTTGATGATCACTTCTTTGAAACGTGACTATTCAGATGACAACTGGTTTACCTCAACAACTCAGAATGGTCAGTGAAATGCAAACCTCTTCTTTTATAGCATGAAGTGTTAAAGCCTACTTTTGTTTCTTTTTTTTTCATATCAGTAAAGTGCAAAAGTTTGTTGTGTATTGTTACTGTTATTATATCTTTATCAAATGATTGATATATTCTTTTACTTACCATATAAGGCCTTAACACCTTCATGTATTATCCTTAAGACTGTTTTATAAATTGTCTATGATAAAAAAACAAATGTTTATTTTTTTTTTTTATACATTTATTAAAACAATAAGTTATTTACTGTTAACCATTGCCATGTTTTTTATGTACTCTGTGTACATCCAGGGGGTTATTTGGGGTCAAAGTGCCCACATTGTTGCCTTTTCTTCAATCATCAGTTCAAAACTAGTCTTATATCCGCCTATGAGCAATGGGAACAGAAACTTGAAAGGAACATCTCTGCTAATCATGAAGGCTAAAAGTTATGGGGAACAGCCAGCCTGTAGAAACTAACACCTAAGGAAATAACTAGTGCTGTCAAGTGAGTAAAAATTTTAAATAGATTACTCACAGGGTTGCTGTAGATTAATTTTGATTAATCACGATTAAATATTCATGTTTAATCTATATTAATCATGTTTCTTTTTGCATGAGCAAAAAGACTCAAGAAAGCCAAAGTGCAAGCAGAAACCCTGACATATGTATGCTGTGTGTTAATGTGGTATTTTAAGCTGAAAGTGCTTCAGTGAAGAGAAAACTCTTTCTTGCAGTGTGCAAAATACTATCGACTGTTTCATCATGTTTTTTTTTGTAGTCAAATTTCCCCTTGAGAGGGCCAATGTGCTGTCTCTACTGGATCAACTGCCCAACACTGCATGGACGAACTGGCAGAAACACGTTACCAGAGACGTTTCAGGGATTTAACCAGATTAATCATGATGATGGACTAAATGGACTAAATGTTAATTTTGGGTCAAACACACCGTAACACTGCATTAGACACCCCCTCGAGAGATGAATGTAGCCGACCGCATGCTTCTCTAGTTATACCAACTTAAGTAACAACTGCACGATAGCAATACACAGAGGTCTACGTGGCCACGTGCTCACCTCTACCAAAACGCCACTCTATAGCCACAAATAATGCTCAGAACAGCACCTAACTTCATCAACAGTACATAAAGGGTCCCAGCCACAGCACTAGCCACCAAACATCTCTTTAACTTTGCCTAATTTCTTTAGCAAAGAGACCAAACACAACTCACCTACTTCTAGCAGCCGCTTGTTTGTAGCAAGACCTCAGGCCAGTCCATTACGGACTACAGCGGGGTGACACAGCTCAAGGAAGAACATTTATGATCATTTCTTCATAGAGATGCAATCAGACCAAGACGCTAAGGCAGAAGAACTACCGCATCTGCAGTGCAAAATGATTAATATGGTGATTATTACTTAAAGAAATGATAAAGTAAAGATCATAAATGTTCTTCCTTGAGCTGCATCACCCCACTGCAGTCAGTAATGGACTGGCCTGAGGTCTTGCTACAAACAAGCGGTTGCTGGAAGAGAGTAGGTGAGTTGTGTTTAGTCTTTGCTAAAGAAACCAGACAAAGTTAAGAAGATGTTTGGTGGCTGTTGCTGTGGCTGGGACCCTTTATGTACTGTTGATGAAGTTAGGTGTTTACCAAAGTGTACCGTAGATGGGGTAATATTGATGATGTTGAATTCAGATAAGAGACAGATAACCTTTACATCAGTCATAGGTGATGGTGGTCATGCTTCAATTATATTTTTGGTTCATTTAGCCATATTGGCTGTTCAGAACTATCTTCTAATACACATGCATTCATGTATAAAGGACAGGTTGTATAGTTGGTGGGATGACGTATATGTCTGTTTTGAACACTATTTGTTTTATACTCCCTTCGTCCCAGTGTCTTTTACAATCACACTCACACATGTACATACATACACACAGACACACAAACACACACACACAAGCACTTAGCAGCAGTCACCTTGGCAGCAGAAATGCCCTCCAGTAGCTGTTCTTGCAGAGCTTGGAGAGCGAGAGCAGCTTGATGTGGTTGTTATTGTTGTTAGAGCCGTTGTGTACATTGACCACCAGGGATGGCGTGTGGTGGCCTGGGGTATCTGCTCTGTTGTCAATGACAGTCAATGACACTGCTGCTAAGTGAAAGGATTAGCTAACTGTGCGTGAGTGTGTGCAGGCCTGTGTGTGCTTTGCCCACACATACTTTTTTGCTACTCTAGTTTTGCTGCTAAATAATTTGCAGAAAACTCACATAGAATGAGCGATTGAATCTGACAAATCAAATACACAGTTCCTTAGATTTTTCTTTCATATAAAAACTTTCATCATGATATCCTCCTCCAAAAAGTATTGAGCTAAACCATAGTGATATTAATACTCAACTTGAACAATAGACAGACTTAAAGGTACAGTGTGTAGAAATGGAACGATTGAGAAAGATTGAAATGTTTATCTTATCTGACCAACCTAAATGAATAAATCTATGAAAAGTAATAATGAATAATCACACATTGCCTTTGAATGATGCAAAGTCACACTGAGTTCATAGCTCGAAAGCTGCCAGTCTCAAGGAGCGAGTGGATTTTACAGTAAGTTGCTGCTTTGCGCTCAAAAATCGAGACAGTGCTGCGTTCTGTCTCTGTTATGCAGGACAACATAAGTCATTACATTCCTATTCAGTCTGTCTACTAAATGTTGCTTTTTACCCGAAACTGCACCTCTAAATTCAGTGGGACATAACTGATGAATTGAGCAACTGGTATTGGTCTCACTTGTCCTGCAATCTACCAATTTGGAAAATGTTCTGCTGTCAGGGTTACATTTTTCACAGGGTATCAAACTTTCTAAAGTCATCAGCTGAAATATTATCTTTTTTGTGCCTTTCTTTGGGGGCATCATCAGTACAGGCTGAAGCATGGTGAACGCATGGAGAGCTCTTCAACTTCAGAACTCAGAAAATCAAGCTTGATGTCATGCCTTATAGCAAAAAAAGCAGAGCAAAGCTTCTGTAAGGCTACTTGATACTTCAGTTAATAATGAGTGAAGGTGTGAGACCACTACCTTACATTGTAATTTACAATGTTGACCAGCTAGCAACTTGTTTGTGTTAGCAGGAGAACCAAAAGCACTGTTCACAGCTGCTCTCTCAAAGCAGAGGCATTTTGGCTTGGTCAGTTTAAAACCGAGTTTTACATGAGGTAAACATTCAAAACAGAGAAGGACACATCTTCCAACCTACCTTGCAATTAGTATGTCGATAGTACAGAGCGATTAATACATGCAAATTGACTCTTAGGGAAACTGTAAGGCAAGTACACACCAAATAGCAAATGGCGGTTTTTGTGTTCACTTTCTGTTGCCGCACTAGTAGGAGAAAAAACGGTGTTTTTTGTATGTTATTCTGCCCTATAAATACCATTTCATGACTAATGATGTCTGTTTGATAAATGGGTTCAGGAGTTTCTTCTAAAACCATCAGTGGGAGAGCACGACTCATAAAAAGCTGTCTCGCAGCCTTCCTCTTCATCACACAGTGTGAAT